ACAGAAACTTGATAAGCTTTAATCAGTTCTCCTGACTCTTCCCAAAATATAGTTTCAGAAACAGCTCAGATTTTCAGAACAAGTTAATTATAAAACACAAGCCCACCAAAAACTTTGGAGTAACAAAAAGAGGCATGCAGATGCATCAACATCCTCAGTTTATGTAAATACCTTTTTTCTTTCACACACGTAGAACCATGAATGACATTTTTAGGCCTAAGTTTCTTAAATGCATCTTGAATCAGAAGTTTTCAAGGAAAACAAAAAAAAAAACCCAACATGTAGCCCAGAGGAGAGAGCAAGTAAATATTACAAGAGGGAAGAGGGACTGAAGGTGGTGGTGGAATAAAAGGGAAGTGATTTTAGCATGTTTTACTGCAATTTCAATAAGTTTAGTTATGATCATAAAAATTACGACAAGCGGAGCTTTCTGTTTTCTGGTCATTAATCCTACTTGCTTTCTTACAGAGGAGTTCACAATTATACACAGCTTTCCTTTCCATGTAACACCATTTCCCATATAATCATACTGCTTTAGTGTTTTATTATTCAAGGCTATTTATTATTTATTATTTTGGAGAGGAATTGGTTCGAGACCATCTTAAAAGTCTGAACGTGCACAAGTCCATGGGTCCTGATGAAATCCATCTGCGGGTCCTGAAGGAGCTGGCGAATGAAGTCACTAAGCCACTGGTCAACATATTTGAAAAATCATGGAAGTCAGGTAAAGTTCCCAACAACTGGAAAAAGGGAAATATAACCCCCATTTTCAAGAAGGGGAAAATGGATGACCCAGGGAATTACAGACCAGTCAGTCTCACCTCTGTGCCTGGCAAAATCTTGGAGCAGATTCTCCTGGAATGCATGCTAAGGCACATGAAAAACAACACAGTGCTTGGTGACAGCCAGCATGGCTTCACCAAGGGGAAATCCTGCCTGACCAATTTGGTGGCCTTCTATGATGGGGCTACAGAACTGATGGACAACAGTAGAGTAGTTGATGTCATCTACCTGGACTTGTGTAAAGCGTTCGACACTGTCCCACACAACATTCTTGTCTCTAAATTGGAGAGACATCAATTTGATGAATGGACCACTCGGTGGATAAAGAACTGGCTGGATGGCTGCACACAAAGAGTTGTGGTCAATGGCTCAATGTCTAGCTGGAGACCAGTAACGAGTGATGTCCCTCAGGGATCGGTGTTGGGACCGGTCTTGTTTAACATCTTCATTGCTGACATGGACAGTGGGATTGAGTGCACCCTCAGCAAGTTTGCCGATGACACCAAGCTGTGTGGTTCGGTTGATACGCTGGAGGGAAGGAATGCCATCCAGAGGGACCTTGACACGCTTGTGAGGTGGGCTGATGCCAACCTCATGAAGTTTAACCATGCCAAATGCAAGGTCCTACACCTGGGTCGGAGCAATCCCAGGCACAGCTACAGGCTGGGCAGAGAAGAGATTCAGAGCAGCCCTGCGGAGAAGGACTTGGGGGTGCTGGTCGATGAGAAAATGAACATGAACCAGTAATGTGCTCTTGCAGCCCAGAAAGCCAACCGTATCCTGGGCTGCATCAAAAGGAGCATGACCAGCAGGTCGAAGGAGGTGATCCTGCCCCTCTACTCTGCTCTCGTGAGACCTCACTTGGAGTATTGTGTGCAGTTCTGGTGTCCTCAACATAAAAAGGACATGGATCTGTTGGAACAAGTCCAGAGGAGGGCCACGAGGATGGTCAGGGGACTGGAGCACCTCCCATATGAAGACAGGCTGAGAAAGTTGGGGCTGTTCAGCCTGGAGAAGGGAAGGCTGCGTGGCGACCTCCTAGCAGCCTTCCAGTATCTGAAGGGGGCATATAGGGATGCTGGGGATGGACTCTTCATTAGGGACTGTAGTGGTAGGACAAGGGGTAATGGGTTAAAACTTAAACAGGGGAAGTTTAGATTGGTTATAAGGAGGAAAATCTTTCCTGTTAGGGTAGTGAGGCACTGGAATAGGTTGCCCAAGGAGGTTGTGAATGCTCCATCCCTGGCAGTGTTCAAGGCCAGGTTTGACGAGGCCTTGGGTGATATGGTTTAGAGCGAGGTGTCCCTGCCCATGGCAGGGGGGTTGGAACTTGGTGATATTAAGGCCCTTTCCAACCCTAACTGTTCTATGATTCTAAGGCTTCTACTTTGCATTAGAGTAGGTAGCTGTTAAACACTGGGACAAGATTCTGGTAAGGTAATACAAGTGGCCAGGTAGTGATTTCTATGCCACTACCTGAGAGTCAGGCAGCAATAAAGCCTCCAGAACAGTCAACTTACAAGCCAAACTCCCTTGATCACCAAATTTAATGCAAGCAAGAGAGGTTTAGAAGATGCTTCCCCATATGCAACTGATCAATCTGGCAGCAGAACCACCTTTCCCCATCTGCTCCTTTAAACACAATTATTTCCACCAGTAGCAATAATCAAGGGCAGAACCTGGCCACTGTTTGAGAAAATGACAGTCCCATTGACACATCAGATATTTAAATTAAATCCTGGTAACAACCACACCATCAGTTTGCATACTGAACAGTATTCAACTCTGAAGCAGTGATGCTTTCAGCTACCTTATACAGATCACTTTTATGCTGGTGTTTCCAAAGCAGAGAAGTAGGGCAAGCTTTTCAAACCCGGCTGCCTGAAGCAATCTATCTATCTGCTTACCTGAGAAGCTTACCTGAGCAACCTAATTTTTCAATGCAAGCCTCCCATTAAGTCACTGTCAGATACTTCCCAGAATCTTTTGCAGTGGCCTGTATTTAGCAAACCTATAACTAGCCCTAAAAATGAAGCACAGGGGCAATTTAAAACCAATGGCCAGATTTTCAACAGTAACACAGAAGGATGTACTTCAGGTTTTGTTCACCTAAATTCAGAGATTAGAAAGGTCAGGTTTCATAAGTGCTGAGCATGTACTTTGAAAAATGTTAAGCGTTATCTCAGCGCTTTAGCAATCAAAATGACACACTGAAGCAAAATGGGTTCCTGCTTACTGTAACTACCTTTGATCAGCTCACCTGGGGATGGCAAGCTGGTTCAGCTGCTTTGTGACAGGCACATGAATGTGCCAGACCAACCAGAGTTACATGCTGTTGAAACCTCATGGCTACAGACATACTAATAAAGGCAAGAGCAGTCCAAGGCTCAAGTTACCCCAGTAAAACCATATAATATCCAGGTAGGACCTATTCTGTCACACTACAGAACCCAAAATAAAATTTCCACCCATGGGAACAACTAAACTCCCATATTTAAGCAATCTGGATAACTGTCCGAGTGGATGATATGTCAGCTTTAGAAGAAAATAATTCTGTGAAGTTCATTTTGCAGAGAAGGGAGAAAAAATAAAAAGTAAAAAAAAAGAAAAAAATAAAACCACACAAATCATGAAAAGCCACAGGTGGTGAAACTTCAGAGGAAAACACAGCTTAACTATCTCTATGAAAGACCCAAATAAATAAAGGCAACAGATAAATCCAGACACTACTTCAGGAATTGCAAGAAAATTTTGCCAGAGAAATATATAGATGTTTTACTTGGATGCAACTGGAAACTGAAAATTAAATGCATGCAATAATACAACAGAGCATGTGAGTACTCTTTGGGACTGTAAACTTATCTACTGAAAAACTTCTGTTCCAAAGCATTCCACAAAAATGAACTACAGCACCAAAGGGAGAACACTGTGTAGGATTTAACATGAAGAAGGACAAGTCAGTGTTAATGGGAAAGAGATGGTAGTATAGATGCTGATAGCCAAAACCAACAAGCTTGCTTTCACTAGATCTCAAAGAATAATTTTTATTTTAAGTACTAGAATTAAAGAAAGCCACAAAAGAGTGAGACTTCCAGGGCTGGAAGTGAGAACATATTTCATCTCCAGCCAGAATACCAAGTCCATTCCAAGGCTGAGTGACTGGAAGTCTTCCATCATCTTAAATAATTTTTTTCTTTTTGCTTTCCCTCCTATTTTCAAAATGAGTGAGCAAGTATCTTCCATGTAACTCCAAGCACTGGATATACACATTTATTAATTTCATAAATATATAATTCAGTGCTTTCTAAAGAACTATGTTTAATGTACACCACACTGCTGAAATAGATCAAGTGTAATTTCAGTTAAAGCTTAACATTTTAATTCTACATTTCTAATATTCCAATACTCTTCTGGGAAAGAAAATGAATGGGTAAACGTTTTTACAATTTCTTTACATGCTATTCCCATATTCTAATAATCAAATAACTTTATAATTGTTATTTTGAGGATATTACTATACTGCAAGAAAAGTACAGCAGATATTAAAGATTAACCTGATCTTCTGTTAGCTAAACCAGAAACACTGTTAGATGCAGTACTTAATAATAGAAATACAAGATTTTATGACTTGTGACAAGCTTGTGCTAGATTTTTATTTAAACAAAAGTATTTGTTAGCCATTCTGGGAATACAAATAGTTCTTTAGAAAGCAAAGCACCATTGGTGTACTTGAGAATGTCTATTAACATTCATAATCTGGAAGCAGTCACCAAACCATAGCCACAGAAGAAAGCTCTGTGTACAGTGCCCACCAGGCTCTATTAAAATTGAAAATCACAATCCACAATCTGGTTCCTAATTTACTGTTTCTGCAAACTTTAGGAAAAAGAAAGAGCTGAAGGCATTAATGGAATACAGCAACATGCTGCAAATCAATCTTTTTCAATAGGATACCTTGATTCAAAGATACAAGGAACACATCAACAACAGCAAAACAAGTATATTTTCAGCACACAAATTTATGCTTTAAGCCAAGTATGAAACAGAGAAGTCTTTTAATTTGCCCCACAGAAACATTGCCTTGCCTTTACCTGATCTGGTGAACACTCCAAGAGTTGTATCATACCATACACAAGTACTCCAGCAGTTAAGAGACTTCCGTCAGCCCAGACAATCTCTCTAGCATGTTACTAGAGGAGCTTATCCAAACAGCTTACTCAAGGCCAAAGCAGAGACACCACTTGAGATTTCTTTGTACAAGCACAAGCAAATCAGTGGCCTCACACCAAAGCACGTGTGTGTTCCAACCAAAACCCAGAACACAGCTGATAGGTGTTTTGCATCCTGCAGGCCATGCTCACCTCAGAGCAGAAAGCCAGCTGACAGCCGCCTGGCAGCAGAAAGGCTGGGTGGGATTTTCTGTTGACCTTTAAAGCCAGTTGGCAGCTGCACTTCCAGGTTATTTATTGCTGCTGTAGGGAGAAATGAGGTCTCCTTGGAAAAGTCCCTCTCAGTAAGAGCTAAGGATTGCATGTGTATCAGCCATCTGCTGAGAGCTGCAGACAGTCATGTGTTAATTGCCTGCCCTGATATTACTGGGGTGAGGTTGCCCTCTGTTAGTGTTTTGTAGACTCAGGCCTGAAGGCTGCTGCAATAATTAAGAATAAACAGAGCCCCTTGGCAAAGCCCTGTTCAGCCAGAGCAAAGAGCCATTTAGCCAAGCCTCGCTCTAAGTGTATAATAGAGTGTATTTGGGGAAAAAAGTGTAGGAATAGGAGAAGCACCTGATAAAACATCTTCCAGTATGGCCCGTCCAGCTTTCTGCAGCTTAGGAACATCCTGAACCAGGAGAAACAGACTCTTCTTCATGCTTAAATCTTTAAGGTTAAGAAGCAGCAGGTAGCGGACCTGTTTTCAATAATACCAATGCACAAAGGCTTGCATCTACCTGCTGCTGTGAACCTGGCAGCTATTTGCAGCCTTTTAGAAGGATGAGTGAACCTATTGCCAATATGTGCTAGAAGAGTGTGTGATAAATGCAGAGGAAAAATTAACATTTTAATCTAGATTATTAGAGAAAACAGTACTTCATCAAATTTACATCTGTGCTATCTGGGTATTTATTGCTATAGTTATGTGCTATGTATGTTGAACAACAAAGGCAGTGGCAGTAGTTCCAGGAGCTTTGCAATAAGCTACCACTGTGTCTGTATGTGCATAGGTGTGCTTAGCACAGAAGAAGTTTTACTGCCATGTAACTCCAGCTAGTCCTAAGCATCAATCAGGCATGACAAGTTACTACATAGGATCAGGTTGCTCTTGCTAGGGCATGTTTCCATGAGCATTAGGAGGTTCACCATTGCTGAAAGAACAAAATTACTGGAAGCAGACTGCAGTGGGTGACAGTGCAGCCTGCTGTCCTCTCTGGTACTCCATGGTGTGTGCTTGACTTCCTATAATACCCTCATATGAGTATTAAGTTCAGGTGGTTTTTTTATTTTAAATCACCTAAAATCACTTAGCAACACTCTGTTACACCTTATTAGAAAGCAAAACTCTCGTATTTAACTATGAATAGCTAGGAAGTTAGTTTCAAATTTCCTTATTGTACATATCATGTTATTTTTTAAATTAAATTGATTCAGTGTTGGAATACAGCATAACTGTGTTTCCTTGAGTACTCTTATAGGCAGCTGAACATCTGGAGGTAAAAAAAAAAAAAGCACAATAGAAAATAAGAAATGCCATACAGGTTCTTCATATCAAGCTGAACAAAATTTCATAGTCCCTACACACTGCTTGAAAGTGGATATAAAATGCCTCCAAGAAAGGAGCCTTAGAACTTGAGACTATCAAGATAGAACAAGCGGTTCTTTCTATGAAAATGTGTAAGTATATTCAGGGGGAATTCTAGATTGCCATTGCTGCCATCTGCAAGAACCCTCTTCTGGGTTCCAACTTCTGCTGCTCTTAGTGTAAAGTGAGTATTACATTTTTGCTGCTATTTACACTGTATGCATCTCAAAGGTTCACTTATTCTTAACTAAGATTAGGTTGATGAAATTCCTCTTCAGAAATTTTAGTGTCTTCAAAAAACTTTGTTTTCATGAAGAGGCCTCCACTAGGACAGAAGTGGGAAAGCGTGTAGGGAACACAGGGAAGCAGGGAGAAAGAAAATAAAAAGGAGCTATCTGATTAGCCTCCATGTCCCACCAGCTTAAAGGCAGTGGAGCAAGTAACATTAGATTTTTACATATTTTACTCATAAAGTAAAGCTGCCTCAAGCACTGTTGATCTTGCTCAGCAAATCACAGTGTCTCAGTGACCCTAGTTGAATTGCAAGGGTGAAGTTTTTACACTGATGAACTGTTTCAGAAGGAAATAGAAGTCATGAGTGAGCATTTTTGTACTGCCAAACACCATTCTGTCCCTCCTCATCTTCCTCTCTTAATGGGGATTGTTAGCATAATCATACTGACAACTGTTACTTCCTATGCATTTATCTATATGTAGATGCCTGTATATAAATGTAAATAAACCTGAGGTTTGCTCTTACCTGAATTGGCCTTTGGAGTGTCTTTGGAATCAAAATAGTGTGTGATCAAAATAGGAGTTTGTTTCTTTCTTAAAAGTTCCCTGCAGAATCGCCATGGTGTAGCAGCCAGTGTACAGTTTTCACATACCTCTCACATACCTAATACATTTTGTCTCACTGTGTTTTGTGTACATTAATGAATTAAGTTTCAGGAAGGAACCATGTGAAGACTGTAATGATTAGTGCCATTTAAGGGACAATTTGTATGAAAAGAGGCTAATGATGTAGCCAAGTTTATTCAAGTGTCAGTGGCAAAACAAGACATACATAAAATCTTGAGCTTTGACTCACAGTTGATCACTCAGATCACAAGCTCCTCGCTGCCATTTCAGAAATGCCACCTATCATTACACATTTTCTGTGGTATATTTAGGCATATATACAATTAAATTAAACACTTTCATGCTGGTTTCAATCTTGCTGTTTCATTTCTAAGATTCAAACCAAGCACTTACCCTTCTCTTCTGAAAATGCATATAAGCATCAGTATCTGAAGATGCATGCAAGAAATTATTAACTCAAGTAGCAGCAGAAAAATATGAATGCAGAACAGAACACCAGTTTGCAATTATTCCCATACATCCAGATGTTTCTATGCCTCACACACTGAGATTGTGACAAAATTCTGAGAGTGCATGTCCAAATTCTGCTGTGATGTGAAATGAAATTGTTTGCACCTTTATGTCAAAGCTGAACTAAGTTTAGATAACATCTCCTCACCACTACAGCAGCTTTCTGGAATGAAGAGAACCCATGGCAAAAGAAGCAAATCGGTGTTAAAGGAGGTGTACCTAGGGAGCAGCATTGTGTTATGGTCAGCTCCTCTACTGGCCATTGTCCAATGAATAGATGGTCTGTGCTGTTGTATCCATGAAAGAAAGATGTTGGCTCAACTAGCTGTGTAACTCTGCTCTAACTCTTCAAACTCCACAGCTTGAAAGGCAGTTGGCCCACTGGGTATAAAAATACAGCACATGGTTCAGTTTACTAATTTAGATTAAAAGACTCGGGAGATGTATTATCTCCCTGGCTAGTAGGCACAGTGACTGATGAGAACAAATTACTTGGTATCCTTAAAGATCCTCCGCACGTGGGGTACAGTCGCCATCCTTTGACTGCCAGGAAAGAAAGGAGGGCTTTGGTTCCCAGACTCAGGGGAATGCCAGCAGCATGTATGAATGATGGGTTGGTGGAGCCCTGTTTCATACCAGTTCTTCAGAACTTCTTACTTGGTTCACATGCACTTTTCAGCAGAGTTATCCTTAGTCCCAAAGATGAGAAGCATGTGTAAGTGTAGAGGGAAATGTATACGTTCTTTCCAGCCCTCTGTTGGACAGAGCCCAAATTCCTTCGTGTAGGAGGGCTATGAGCTTCAGGACTGGAAGAAAGGGTTCTGGCAGACACAGCCAAGTGGAGAGTGATCTGCATACAAAGTTCCTTCCAAAGATGAATCAGGGTGAAATGATTTTACATGTTCTTTCATTGTCCTTCCTACCTTGTAAACATTCCTAAAGCCTGTCTGTAAGCCTTGCATAAAGAAGTGCTAATATCCATATGTCAGTACTGGAAATGATTTCTCCCACACCTAAAGAGCCAAGTTCATCCTGTATGTAATTCCACTGACTTTAATAACTTCTCAGGAGGAAGGATAGCAGCCCCGTTAAGTCCACCCAAAAGCTGCAGATTCTGCTGAAAACAGCTGCCTGCCTTGTGAATAGAATGAATCACCACAGACCTCAGTTGCTCAGGCCTTTGCAATAGACTCCTCATCACTTCTGTATGCAATTCTGCCTGTGAATCTTTAAATTATCTGGACACCAGCTGCTTGAAAGTCTTGAAAGGCCCATTATAGGAGATAAGGGCAACAGAGCAGCCCTTGCTCTCGGTTCTCAAATGTGTCTGTGCTGAAGTTATATTGTATTTATCCTACTGCAGAGGACTTCTTGGTTAGCTGCAATATCCAGGAAAGAATTTTATTCTTTCTGATATGTTTCTTGATTTTCAGAAAGGAGGAATGAGTATTCACCTTTCTTTGCTCTGTCAGTCACAAACAAGTAGAATGTAGGTCAGGGTGAACCAATGCACCTAGGGGTATTAAATTGCTTCAATGTCTGGTCAGTAAATCTTGATCCTATGGTCACAGAATGCTGAATTCCAGCTTTACAATAAAAAAGGACCAGCAGGGAGCTTCAGAGAAGCTAGGGGGAAAATTTTCATAGGATCATGGAGAAACGTTATTTAACAAATTCTCTTCTATTACAATGATTCTGTGACCCTGGTGGTGCCTTCCAGTCTTATGTTCCTATAAATAGCTTGCTTAAGAACTAATTCCTCCTGACAATCTGACAGAGCTTCAGCTCACAATAGAGCATGGCACTGGTTAGTTTATCTTGTGACTAACCTTAGCATTTGATTTTTGTTTTCTAGTACTTTGTTATTCTGAACAGCAAGATACTGTTATTAACATTACCTGTTGAGAATTTTTAGTTAGTGAGTAAATGAACTTCCAGCTCTTTCAACAACAGATGCTCTAAATTAAAAGATCTGAAAGTCACATTCATATTCTTTAAGCAAATGGTGCATTCTAGGATCCTAAATTATAAATGTAATTATAAATATGTACAAAGTCCAGTTAAAAGAATCTGCTTGGGACAGAAGTTCAGCCTGACAAGAAGTGCAACATCAGACATTGCAATTAGTCTTTAAAAACTAGCAGGGGAAAGGTCTTCAGAATGAATGAAGATTAGTTACTTTAACCACATTAGAGCTTTTTCAAATTGGCTTTTATAATGGCATATGAGACAACATAGTTGTATGAAAATGAGTTTCCATGAGCTGTGCTGAGAGAAAGATAAACCAGATAAACCTGACACGCTTTTGGATATTGAAATGTATACACAAAATTACTGCGGTTTCCTAAAGAAGGGGAGCAGAGAAGGAGAGAGGGAGAAGTTGCAGTGAAAATTTCTGTTACTAATTTCCCTGTGCCTAGATAAGGTCATGACGAAAAGTCATTTTTATAGCCAGCCTCCCTAATACTACTTAAGGAATAACACCTTTCTCTCTTCCACAGTCTGTTGCGCAGTATTCTATGTGGTATGAGATTAGGGCTTCTTCAAGACGTTCTTTGTTGTTCCCTTTTTACCTAATGCAATAAGGTAGGGGGTTGTCAGGATTTTACTATGCAACAGTAGAACTATTTTTTTATGTTAAATCTGCAAATGCCTCTTTCTCTGCATGCTGTCACACAAATCCCTTAGCAAAAAAATTGTTTCATTTCACTGCTTTAGTTGTCTAAAAGGTATACTAAGCACCTACAATCCCAATCCAAAGGTCACCTTTCCTAATTTAGGCATCTAAATTTGTTCTGTAACGAATGCACCCCCACCTGTCATATCTCACCTACCATACATTTGTCTCAGGATCCTCCTCCTCAGCATATTTCCTCTAACTCTAAGACAAATGAGTTAAACGAGTGGGCTATGGAGTGAAAGAAGATGACCAGTACAGACTACATGTCTGACTTCTAGACAATTAAAATTGAAAAAGATCCATGTTTCACTGGGTTTTCTTCTGTGTAAGACTTCACACACTATTATCTACATGAGGTATTTTAGATCCTAAACTGAAAGATCTTATTCAGCCCAGAATCTACAGGTGACAACAGAAGATACAGCACTTCACGGATTTTAGCAAGGATTCCTTGCAATCCCCTTCAGATGTGGATTCTAAATTAGAAGTAGATTTGCTCCAGACTCTCTCTAT